AGAATTTGTCAGAATTTGACTTGATAGTTCGTTTCTTAGTAACGCTAACCCGGCAAATTCAAATTTCGATTTTTCGAGGGCCGTTTTTGCCCAAATGGAGTTAATTGAAAAATCGACAAAAATATCGATAAGATAGCCCTTTTCGAACACTACAAGCTCCATTAATCAGATTTTAATGTCTGTTACTCCTGCAGCCGGAAAAAAATTAAATCTAATTTCCCATGTTAATTTTCTATATCCAAACCTGTCTGGGACAGCCGGTATAAATTATTTGCACTTATTGTCATTTTTTCTCTAGCTGTCAAGATAAAAATTACAAAAACCGAAAGTGAGGTTAGTTGCACATATGGTCCGTTTTACATTTTTATGTCAATTGAATGACAAGTAGTCCAAAATTCCGTTGTATGACATTCATAACATCCTTGGTATGTTAATAGTTATAATAGATTGTCAATTGGATGGTGCAAATATTTCTAAGAGAAAATGCAACGTGAATCGTTTTTACTTACTTCTTGTATCGAGAGATCAAGATAATTTGTAATCGTGTTATGTCTTTTTGAACCAAGTGCACGTCAAACAAAATGACAAGTCAAAAGATAAAACGGCAAAATGGACTGGAATTAGTCGCTGGCGTATAACAATAGAACAGTTAACGGTCTTTTTTGAAGATAAATCATAAATTTAGTTAATAAAATCATCATTTTTTTGATCATCTCATTTTACCTTCTCAACTTTTCATTTTATTTGACGTTTCATAGACATACACTATATTTCTCTGGATAGTAAAATTCTCAAGGTCACAATTTACGAGTGTACTCAACTTTTATGCACAACGAAGTAACCTTGACAAATACACTGATCACTTTTGACAGCATTTTGACATTTATTGACAATCCACGAACAGCTGGTGTTTTAATTAGTAAATCTTGAGTTTATTTATTTAAATTGATTTTAATGTGCTCGTTAACGGAAACCGAAGGGACTGCAATACATACTATTTGATTTGGATATTTAAAATAACCCAAAACATGAGTGTTTCAATAGTATTTGAACGAGTTTTATTGAGCTCCAATTTTGGTTAAATCACTCAAACGTATATGAAAAATACTTTTATTTTCAATTTACTCATAAAAGGTAGTTGCAAATCTATCAGATATAATCAACTCAGATAGAAGCATCTGCAGGCAAAGTCAGTAGAATCTGGAAATTTTATCCAACAATATTCGTTCTTGCTCAAAACCAAAGGATCAACTTGGGTTTGCTTCCCCCTAGATAGGCCTGCTTGTGACCTTATTCATAGGAGCAAAAATTTGTTTTAAATGATTTGATGAACTGCAGAACTATCGTCACAATAAAGAATTATGCTAATCCTCCAACATACCAACACCAAAACACGTTGTATCACAAACTCCTATCACTGAAGCACAAAACTAAATTTGTGATGGTTAACTATTAGTCCTTAACCAACCTTTGAAATTTACCAAAAGGTAATAAAACAATCTTGTTATCCAGTATAAGTCAAATATCTACGAAATATTTTGGAGGGTTTTCCGATTTTTAGTTAATCAACTAAACCACTGCACCACTAAAAGTTTCCTTGAGGCAACTGCGTTTCAGTTTGGAACAATAATATGTGAGGCACATTACCCTTGTACAAGGTGCAAGGTATGTTTCATAACAATTTTGTTAATTAAAACTATGGGTGTAGCTAAAATGTTTGTTATTATCAATAACGATCTTTGATTTATTAAGAAGAACCAACCTTTTGTGCAACATTCAAAAGTTTTATTTGTAAATTGATAACTGCCACAAACACCATGGACATGATTAACAGATTCTAGCAAGAAGATGCTTTTCTTCTTACAAATCTTTCATATCAGAGGTTCGATCAACGTTTTGAACAAAATTCTTGGACTTGGGTTTGGTGTTCCAACTTTTAATTTGATCGACACTTTTTTATCGGAGGTAATCGGAGTTATTCACTGATGTTTCATCTAAAAACAAGCTTCGGCTGTTGAATGTTCTGAATAAAGCACGCGATTGTATCTTAAAATTTTATTAAACCCTAAAACCATCGTACATAACCTTTAATTTCAATGTGACAGAAAAAAACATCATTGCCACCTTTAAAAAATAAAATCGAAAATCATGGCTACGAGAGTCAACACAACTGTGGTAAAACCCAGTGGCGGTTTCTCTTAAGGCCGCTTTGCCGCGCGCCCCCCCTGGACAAGAAACCATAAAGAACGTTTTATTTAGTTTAGAGTGATTTATTTTATTATAAAAGTTTAATTAGAAATTTTGTAATTTGAGTAAAAATGCCCATTTATTTTTTATAAACCCAGAAATTAAGTTATTTCGATGGTACAGCGCAAACAGGGCGCAAACAATTCCGCGGCCCTGGTTGTCATGACAACGCATCTATAGCTCAGCTCTACGCTTCTGCTAGCCAATCAAAAAATTCAAATGTTCCTCACGTGCTCACCACTATATCAAGACTTGGCCGCTAAGATTCTGCGGCCACGCTYAGGCGACGGGTRTGAAAGTGAGATMGGCGCATTGGAAACACGAGAGTATGGGCGAGGGGGTGCTTTGGATTTAAGGGGAGATAAAAACGAACAACCAATTAGCTCTGCGTATTTTAAAAGAAGCGCCGAGTAATT